TGGATATAAAAGTACAGCTAATTCACACCCAAATCTTTTGTTACTATGTGCTAGAGGGTGTAGCTACTGATGCCCAGGTACGGCATCTGCCCTTAAGAAAGTTTTAGAGGCGTGGAAATCAAATACACGTTTTCATATATTAAATGCCATAGTAGAAAGAAATGCTTGTAGAACACAGTTTTAAAATCATCTTTGGAAGGGGATGAGTGGAGTTCATGTGTCACACATAGGTAGATAGATGAAGGACATTTCAAGGAGGAAGAACGTGCAGTGGACAGGAAGGGAGAAAGCTGCTTAGCTTATTCACTCTAGCAAGCATTTATATTCGCAGGGATTCATTAAGACTCAATTAAGTTAACTATTGCAATGATTTTTAATTGTTTTACAGGATGGCTTTACACCACTTTTACTGGCTCTCAAGGAAAACAAAATAGAGATGGCGAAATTTTTAGTAAAGAAGGGAGCAAATATACATGTATTTGATGAGATGAAAAGGTACTGTTGTCTAAATTTTTTTTAAAAAATTGAGTGGCATACTGAAATAACAATCACACAAAGAAATACCAAATTTATGTGAAGTCATCAGTCTAATTAGGTAAGAACAGCAACGAGTTGAAGAATGTAACACAAATCATTTCTCAAAAGTTTCATATACCTTTATTATATTGATTAATGATTGTTATGTGAGTTTTTGGCTGAACAGCTGATATTATGGTAGATAAATGGGGTTTTAGTTTGGTTTTACTAATATTTTTAAGAATTTTGAACTTTCTTTATTAACTTTTATTCACACCAGAATTCAATCATTTTGCAGTATTTTTCCTTGTTCTTGTATGGTTGCCCTGTAAAATACCATATTAATAATCAAAAAAGTTGACAATCACAGTCTAATGTATGACTCTAATGTATGATTTTGAAGAATAATGAGGTCAGATTACCTTTTGATGATTAAGAGTTATTATTGCAGGATGCCGCTCAACTCCACCCTCTTTTTCCCTGTACAACTGGTATTGATATGTTTATATTTCCATAGTACCAGAAAAGGAAAGCAAATTCATTTTATTAGGAAAATGACATGAAGCTAAGTCTTTGGTGTAGATTGTGTATTGGTGCTGTGAAGGAGATGCAGATTCATACCTGACTTCATTACAAGTCAGATATCTACTCGCTAGGTATGTAATCTGCTAGTGTTAGATATCACCAAATATGAAAAGGAGGATAATTCCATGGAGAAGTGTTCATGAGATCATTTATGGAGCACTTCAGGCAGTGCACAGCACATGATATTATCATTACCAACTGTAGCTACAATGAGTTTTATTATGAACAGAATATTTTATAATGCTATAGTTGCTTAAATAACGAAAAGAGTTTTCAATTATCTTGTTGGTTATGTTACACTAAACTAGAGAAAATGGAACCTGCTTAATTTACATCCTTATCTACTTAAGAAGAATAACTTTTATAGTGTTACATTCTATCAAAAGTGATGAGTCTAAGAATTCTACTGAGAATATGTGAAACAGTACCAGAGGCTTCTCATCCATTTTCTTCTTTTGTCTTTGGACACAGTGTACAGAGATGAATCCCTGTAACCATAAAATGTATGTGTGTAAAAAGGAAAATTACAAAAGCAAACAAGATACCAAATTTGTAAAATATAACAAAGTATTAACAGTTTTAATTGAAGTTCCTAATAATAAAGCTATTTCTGTGGTATTTCAGAAACACACTCTTATATGCCATAAGATGGGATGCAAAAGATATGGTCAGTCTCCTTCTGAAAGAAGGAATTGACTTTTCCTTTAAAGATATATTCGGATGGACTGCATTACGTTATGCTATTGAAGGCACAAGTAAAGGGTAGGTGTTTGCATTAGAATGCTAGTAAATACTAACTTGTAGTACAAATTACTACACAGTTTGTAGTAAAATCACAAAGTCTTTATATTCCATTACATAATATGTCATTTCTTACTCTATGTTGTCTTGGAATAGCAGTGCCTAGCCAATATGCAAAATGCATTAGAAGGCTTTCTTTGTCCCATGACTTGGTTTGGTAATGCTGTAGATTGAACCAAGTAGCCCATTTATGCTGGGCAATTCTGTCACTGAACTACATTTCTGTGTAGAACTGGACCTTAAAAATTGTGGACTATAACACTTTTCCATTTCATCCAACTACAACTCTATAAGTTATATTTATACATGTATTTATATATGTATATGTATATAGTGTCAGATACTTGATTTTCTAATTAGCATGGTTCTCCTGAACAGAGTCTATTTCTCTGGTGGTCTTTTTTTCTATATATTACTCTTTGAATCTTGAAGAAGGTGAAGTTTCAGGGTTTCCTAAGTGCCAGGAAAGAAGTGGAGCAAAAAGAGGGCATTCTAGTCCCTCTTTTATTTCTACTGATTCTGTTGCTGCAGTGTTGTATTCACATTGTCCCAGAGACCAGTAGGGGTTGACCTTGCTATCCAGGCTGCCTTTGTTGAATCAGTTCTCTGATGACTGAAGGCAGTTCACAGTGCACACTTAAGTTGAAAAGTTACAATATTTTAATTGAATGGTTAGTCCCAAAGTTACATTGGTTTTCTTTGCCTTCTGGACTTTTAGTTTGTGCTACACTCTTTGTTGGTGATTAGACCATTCTCATTTATTCAGAACCTTGTATGGAGCCCACCTTTTATTTTAATCATAGACCTTCATGGTTTGATAACTGTGAAGAATTTATCTGGTAGACAATATGACATGGGATCATGGTAAGCTGTCATGATAGTTCAAGTCACGTTGCAGGGAACATCACAAGTCTTTATTCATTACTGCCAGAATTTGGCCAACAGATCCCTTTGCATTCTGTGCAGCATCCTTTTCTAAGTGCTATAAGATGTGTGCCAACAGCATCCTTCTCTGAGTAGGTGTCAGTCTTAGTCTGTGTTTAAAAGAACTCATTCACATTATGCTTCATTGGAACCAATGTATCAAACAGGACAATTCATCATTCTAACAGGGATCTTCAGGTTCAGAGCTTAATTGTACAGAGGAGGACTAATAGTAACTAAGTGAGGTTTTAGAAACTCAGTTTTCAGGTTTGGGTCATTAAGAGTTTGGTAGTGCACAATCATCATTTTATTTAATGGAAATAAATACACATTAAAAAGTTTTATTTTCAAGTTGTTAAATAGCTCATTTGTTTCTTAAATTATAAGCCATAAAATTAGAGTGGCTAGCATTGAAATTTAGGGCTGGTGGTGGTTAATTCTAATCATCAAGTGATACAGTTTAGAGTCACCTGGAAGAGGAGTGCCAGTGAGTGATCCTTCAGACTGACCTGTAAAATGGTCAGAAGGTAACTGTCTTGATTCTTGATAAATGTGGGAAGATCCAGCCTACTCTGAGTAGCAGCATCCCCTAGGCAGGTGTCCTGACTCAGATAAGGAAAGAGTATGTGAGGAGCATGCAGGGCATTCATTTCTTTATGTTCTTGATGGTGAGCATGATGCAACTGCCTGCTTCAGGTTCCTGCTGTCTCGACCTTCCTGCAATAATGATATATCATGGTGGGCAAAAGTAAGTCCTTCTTTCCCTAATTCCCTTTTGCAAGATGATTTTACCACAGCAACAGAACTGAAATTAGAAAAAGATTTCATATTTTCTGGATAGATACAATAACTGAATGCAAAACTGTAAAAGGAAAGAATTCATTGGGTTTTACTTGAATACGATAATTCCTTTGATATTGTCTACAAATTCTAGAAAATGCAACATAATATAAAATGTTTTTCATATCAATTTTAAAATAGTAATTTTGCATTTTTCTCTTTTCATATGACAGTAGTCGGAAAATTCTTATGGACTACGAGGAAAAGTTACATATTAAAAATAAAGATGGCAGTCTAGGTAAGGCTTATGAAAATGTTAAGTGAATATTAAAATCACGATTAGATCAGTGCCAAAATATACTAGCACTTTTAAAATTTGTTTTATAAGCATGTACAATTGAAACTGCTTCCCATATTTTCAATATTTTAATTTAGGCAATAATACTCATATTCTGTTGCCCTAATTTTTAGTTATTTCAAATTAAAGTTGTCTCTTATAGTAATTTCAATGAATATTTTTTTTGTCTATATTGAGGCATTATTTCAACTATCTTATATGGCATCCATCTTACTGTGTAGTTGAGATTGGCTTTGAACTCTTGATCTAAGTTGCCATAATTTCTCAGTTGTTGAGGTTTGGGGTATGCAGCTTTCTTTATTAAAATCAATAATTTTTGAGGCTATGGATTGAACCTAGAAACTCATACCTTTAAAGCAAACTCTGCAGCCATCACTTTCTCTCTTAGCTCCTTTCTGCCTCTTGTTCCTGATCAAAAGCATAAAATATTTTGGAAAAAACTTTATTTTTCTAGCAATTTTCCACTTAAAGAATAAGGTTGAAAGAAATTACCCTCTGTACTAACATTACTGTTTAGCCCATTTTCTTCATGTTTGATATCATGTCTAACAATCTCAGGAGGTTGTTTATTTTAAAAGTGCATGTCCTATTTGTTACGTAGGTTCTCTGGAGCTGTGGATTGTAGCCAGGCTATCCTTTGTTTCACAGCTAAAGAGGGCACATAGAGGGATACATGGATTTCCCTAGGAAATGGGGAAATAAAAGAGATCTCCTGGGTAATATAAAGGCTGGTGTTGGGAGGTTGGGTAGTGAGAGGTTGATGGGAGGGTGGAAAAGGGAAGGATGGCTTTGGATGGCTTGGGATCTGAATACATATATAAAGGACATGTCAAAAAGATTTCCCTAGAAGATTCCTGCTAGTTGTAAGTTCTTTTACGCTTAAAAGTCTCTTTATTCAGCCCAGCTCAAGACTGATATCAGACAAATCTAAGGCTATGTTGCACCAGATATAAGAACACGGAAACAGAAATAGCTGTCATTGAAATAATTTTTTAACATCATTCCTGGAAGATATTGACTTGTATAGAGCTTGCTTTGTACCTGAAATGTCTTTGCTTGGTCTTGGTCTAGCTCCATGTTTATCATGCTTTGAAGTACAATGTTAATAGGTTGACCTTCCTTAAGATAATATTTCTTATCATAAACAGAAATTTGCATCAAATATTTGATATAATTCTTTCTGTAGTAACATAATAAAGAAACTCACTTAGAATGTTGCTAATGTCGCACTGCACATATATTCTACTGTCTGTTCAGCACTGAAAGCTCAAGATTCCATTTAAGTCAGTCTCCTAGAAGTGAGTTACCATACATGCCATTGGATATTGCATCTTATGGCAAATTATTGAAAAATTTAGTGTTCCTCCTTTGGGCCTAGTAAATAAAAAGCAGGAAGCAGCTTTTTTTTATATATTAATTACTCAATTGGCAATAGAATTAGCATCCACCATAGGCTATGTTTTAGACATGGTATGAAAGGAATATTTTCTAATAAACCTTTAGAGTCATATGTTTTTGGTATTTTTAGATTTTTTTGGTTCTACTTAAAATGCATTTCTTTTTCTTAAATAGAATACAAGAATTCTGAAGAAAATTCATTGGCCAAGTAAGATTCCTATTACGATAAAAACCATGTTTTCTAAATTTGGAATGTGTTGGTGAATAAATCATTGTTCAGTATTCTTACTCTGTAGTAACCCGAATATTTTATTGTTAATGCTAGTTATTCCTTGGAACTAACATAATAAATGTTCAACGTTTTTCCAATTATAACACTGGTTTTTCTAATTGCACAGTTATTCAGAATAGTTCTTCAATTACTTGAATATCAGTCTGCCTTGGATTCCCATGTGTCCCTTACTCATTAGCATAAGTTGACAGAAGCCCATGTAGCCCTAAAACCTAGGTCAGATTAGTTTAAAAAGTCAAATTTTGTGTTGAAATAAAAGTATTTTACATTGTTTTTTGTTCTGTTCTCTTTGGGAAAGACAGTCACATTGACTATATAGACATTTGGGCTTCTATCTCTCTGTCATCTATGTATCTATGTATTTATCTATCTATCTATCATCCATCTATTTATTCACATATCTATTTAATTCTTAAAATTAGATTTAAGACATTTAAGATGTTTGAGGGAAATTCTTTTACCATTTTTAGATAAACAGAAATTAATTATTTTTTTCATAGTTGTCCTCATAATAGAACATCATGACTTCCATGTTTTATTTAAACAACTTAAGTTTTTAAGCAGGCTTTCTTTTGGATTAAAGTAACAAATTTCCAACCTTTTTTATTTAACGTGCATTTATCTATTTTTATTATGCATTTGCTCTGTAGGAACCCCAGTGATCCTACTTCTGTGTTCACCTTGCCCAAATCAAATGAGGATGATGATGATTTTAATGACAAGGTAAAATTTTCCTTCTTGAACTTAATATGTTTGTACAGAAATGTGTTTCCATGGTATTTTCTCTTGAAATTCTGAAGTGGTCTACCTCTTGCCATTCTGTTGACAACAACAGATAATAGTCAATTGGTGAGAAAAAGACTTTTCCCTAAGATTGTGACCCGTGACTAATTGGATAGTTTTTTTTAGTTTGATAAACAACAAAGATCAAGGAACTATTCTGAAGTAAAAGGGAAAGGTGTAAAATGTACAATTTAAGAGATTTGTATTAGGAATACAATTTCCATAGAAGAGGAGATTTTAATTATGGCAAATAATATTTGATTAAATGTCACTTACTATGACTTATGAACCATACTAATAAGATAATGCTTCAGAATTACAATGAAGAACAGATTCCCACCAGGGGACACAGAATCTTTATGGAAGATTGATAACTGCCTTTAGAAATATCTCCAGCTAGGATATCTCATGTCATTTTAGCAAAACTATTCACCTTAGCATTGATAGTCTTTCATAGCAGCTGTAGGCTTTATTTTTATTTTTTATTATTTAGTGCCTCTTGTGGGTTTATATCTTGAGCCCAGGTTGTAAAGTACATATCAAAAGTGTTCTATTGCACAGTTGCCGGCCCAACTTCAGCATTCAGAGCTGTTTTATAGTATGCTCTAATTCCCAATCATCTGTTAGCTGTTTGAAACTGGTTTAAAAAAAAGCACTAATCAAGATTTTAGTCATATTTCTCCTTCCTGATGTGAATACTGAATACAAAATTACAAACATTTGAATAGTATTTGAAAAGGACTAGTTCAAAATCATCTGGAAGAGCAGTGAAAGCTTTTGCATAATGGATATTTTCTTCAACCATGAAGTACCATTTCATATGACATATTAGGAAAAAGAATTATTATTATGTGTTTATAGATTGATAGAAAATTTGTTTTAGCTTTTATATGAGAATGTACCTTTTTTCTTACATAATATTAGTAGTTATAAAGACCTAAATATAGAGTCACATGAAGTTTCTCTTCTAGAATTGAAAACTTTTATTTGATGATGAAAAATTTCTACATAGCAAACGTCACCCAGGGTGAGGGAGCATGCTTTATTTGGCATACTCCAAATCAAGCTTACAATTTATTATTTTTTCAAGAGAGGATTTCTCTGTGTAATGTTGGCTATCCAAAAACTTGCTCTGTATACCACTCTGGCCTTGAAATCAATGAGATCTGCCTGCCTCGACCTCCTGAGTGCTGAGGTTAAAGGTGTGCACCACCACCCTCTGGCAAATTTAAATATTTTTAGTTTAATTTTTAAAAAATTTCATGTATGAGTATTCTACTTCCATTACTTTCAGCCTGTCTTCTCTCCATTCCAGCAACTTATGTATATGTCCCTCTCTGCTCTCAAATTCATGACCTTTTATTGTTTTATTATTTTTACATATGTAAATTTGCAAATACATACACTGTATATATAATATACATTATCTATTGAGTACATTTAGTCTTTTTCACACAGAATAGGCTTTAAGTTAATCTAGACGGCTATTGATTACCACTAAGAAGAAAGTACTGCTATTGCATCCCCTTGATCTCTTGCTCCACCAGCAACTGTTACGGTTCTAATGCTCTGCAACTAGGAAAAGCTTTTGGTTGCTTTTCTCTTCTGGGATCTTGCGTAGTGTGTTTAATTGCAATGAAACAGTTCTCATGGAAAAGCATTCCAGGCAGTCCCTGCCAGAATTTTTTCAAGTTCCATATCTAATGTGTGTGGTGTCTCCAGTAACAGTCTTATCTCCAAGTTCATGAAAGAGACCAAGAGCAACCTGAAGAACCTGTATTTCTTTGGCGGGGGTGGGGGGTCTCTTGGAATTCACTGTTCAACAAAATAAAGACAAGTGTTCCTTGCCTGGAGCTGAAGATTTCCTTAGCCAGCCTATGGCTTTTAGGGAAGTAGCATCTCCTACAGTGGTATAACTTCTTTTAATTTATTTATATATGTGCACACATATATCACATATGCTTTTATGTAAATATAAAATACTGTTTTTCCTGATGATTTTCAAGGATCCATAGTCTTATTTAGCACTCTGTCCTCTCTATGTGTTATTATTCTCCTTATCCGATAATTAAAATCTCTTTGTCCCATCTTCCACCTTCTAGAAACCTGAATCATAATTTCTGCCTCACTCTAGAGTTCATCCCTGGACTTCCTTTATATTTTTTTCTTCTATGTTTAAAAACCATATGCTTGTTACATCTAGAATTACTGTTTTGAAATTGAGGGTTTTAATAAAAAAATAAATATTTGGGAAATATTCCAGAGAGGGGGAAACACATATTTCTCGTGAAAGCATAGTTATGTTTTGAGTGCCATAAGGGGAAATAGAAAAGTCTGGGGTTAGAAATAGTTTTTGTAGTAACATTTTATTTGTGTTTTAATTAAAAAAAAATCCTTGCCTAAAGTTCAGAGAGTAAAACAGCCTTACTGGTCAACCTTAAAGACCAGGCAGTGGTGACACACATCTTTAATCCCAATAGCCACACTATCTTACCTAGTGTGGCAAACCTGGTGGTAGTGATACACCCCCTTAATCCTAGTGCTAGAGAAGAATATAAAACAGGAGGAGAAAGCTCTCAGTCTCAGTTTGATTCTGAGATTCCTGGAGGCAGGATCTCCAATTCAGCCTGAGGTAAAGGTAAGAGCCAGCAGCTGACTGCTTTGTTTTTCTAAAATTCATGTTAAACCCCAGTTAATGTTGTCATTAATCATGCAACAAGTTTTATTTTTTCTGGAGGTTTAAAGAGAAGTCATTTAAAAAAGGGATACTCATTTTAAATATGGAATGTAAGAGTTAGATAGCATAAGGTTAACTTCTTTTATAAAATATCTACAAGTAAGCAGTTTATCTATGATTATGTCTCTTCTATTTTTGTTTTACAAAATGGTGAGAGATAGATTTAACCTAGAAAGCATGTATAAGGTTTTGTATCAAAATAATTGTGTTTTTAGACATATTCTTTTTGTTTTATGTGTAGTTTCTTTTAAATTGGGAAAATCATGTATCTTAAAATGAGTAAGAAAATATTAATTGCTTTATTTTCTATGAATTTTAGCTGAGTTCTTTGAAGTGTGCTCCTGCTAAATATATCAGTAACATACATGGGCCTGGAGGTCAGAGAGACAAAAATGAAGCAAAAGAAACAATGGAAGGTAACATTTTTGTTCTTTAAAAATGTTATTTGACAGAATGTTGGTTTATGGCACGAATACTGATGAAATCTCATAGCCAAAGAGCTTTTCTTTCAGTGGATAACCATAAAAGGTGTAAGATAAATGGCAACAATTGTAACTCTTACCAGTGTTTAACAACATGTAAAGCTGAGACTGTCACTAAAGGAGTTTTATTGCAAATACCAGTTCATGCCATTCTTACATGAAAGGGGAAATAAGGAAGAAATGAGTCCAGAGAATGAGTAATATTAAATGCAGAAAAAGTGAGGAAATAAATAAAGAAAAAAGGATAAAGATCTTAATGCACAGAGTATGGAAGCTAGGATGTAAAGGGTTTAGAATATGGATCAAAAAGAAAAACATTGTTTGCGTGTAACAAAACTGGCTTGAGAAGTAAGAAAAACATTTCCCACTTTTTATCACCATCTCACTGTTGCAAAACATCGTTCATGTATGATGAGCTGTATCATACAATGGTAGACTTACTTTACTTTAGATAACCATAAACACTACAGGGTCAGTTATACAAGTGAACTAATGGTACAGGGTTATGTGTTATCAGGTAAAATATAAGATTTGAACAAAGATAATTAATAGTTTTACTTATAGGAAGTTCAGGAAGTCATCACCAGACATGATCTGAAGAAGTACAGGACAGATTCCATACATGCACTGAGGCAAAGCAATATTGAAGCAGACAACATAAAAACTATTCTTTCTCAAAGTTATAGAAATTCGGGGTCAATCATAAAAACAATATGCTCAGGTAGCTTAAAGCTATGCATTTTTTACAATATTTTCTCAGGCAATCGTGTCTCTTCTGTGTATCCATATTGTTCTTATTTTTAGGTAAACATAGAGAGGGCTTTTGATTGTTAGTGGTGGTGGGATCACATCAAGAGGGAGAAAACATCCTCTTCTTTTCATGAGCATGAAAATAAAAATCAAGGAAGAAGCAAAGAAAGGAAGAATAGGAACTAAATTTTATAAGACAATAATGACAATTCATGACAGGAATAAACCAGTAGATGGAATATATAGTAATTTGAATTTGGATTCAATCTCATGTCCTCTGTAATGACAGCAAATTTCCCAATGACATTATTGCTTGTGTGAAAATGCTTTGTTGATCACAAAATACAATATCTTTGGAGAGAAAGATATGTTTAACTCATTTATGATATATCACAATGTATCAAAATTGTGTCTTAAAGTAAATGTTTTTAATGTTTATATGTAGATTGTAAAGATTTTGTAATTTTTCCATGAATAGTCGTTTTAAAGCACTGACAATCATATTTCAGAAGTTCATTTGCAGTAATTTCATTTTTAAGTTCACATACCTCATAAAAATGCTTACTAAACTTTTAGAGTATGTCTTATTTTGGAAATGTTTTATTTTAACTTCATGATTTTACTTTTTCAACTCGATCCCAAACATATTTATCTAATTGGACCAAAACAAAATAAGCAAAAACAAAATCTAACATTCTCAAAATTTAAATTACCATTTCTAAAACTACCCATGAGCATTTAGTCGCACACAGATTCTGCTTATGTGGTCAATGTTGTGATAAAATATTACTGTTTCTCTGTCTCTTTCATGTTTTAGACTCCTTTAAAAAGCATCGTGCCTCAAAGGTAATAAGTGAAATATTTTACATCATTAATTTTATACTGTATGAAATACAGAAATTATTAATTATCGTTTTCAATGCCACACAGTCTGTGATTGGAAAGACAGTTGTTCTTGCATATGAAGAATCACTGGCAAATCAGGAGGAGTCAATGCATGCAGGTAAATCTTGCAGTATTGGTGTCTATGGAAATTTATTTCAGCGTACTTGAAACATTTACAATGTTCTCTGTTGACTGAAGTTTCCTGTTCAGCCATGTCCCTGCAGTCATTAAGTCCCAAAGAAATTACACAGAGGTCTACATTAGTTATAAACTGATTGGCCCACTAGCTCAGGCTTCTTAGTAACTCTTATAACTTACATTAGCCCATTATTCTTGTCTATGTTAGTCATGTGGCTCAGTCAGGCTTATTCAGTGAGGCAGTCACATCATGGTTTTTCTGTGATTGGGTCAGGACTGCCAAGGAATGTGTTTCCTTCTTCCCAGAATTCTCCTGTTCTTATTGACCCACCTCTACTTCCTGCCTGGCTACTGGCCAATCAGCATTTATTTAAAATACAACTGACAGAATACAGACCATTGTTCCACACCAGTTCTCATTTCTTTTGCTCCTTCCCCAAGTATCATTGGTGAATTTTCTATTAGTGCAAAGATTTTGGCTAGTTGTATGTACAGTTCTTGTTTGTCACCTGCCCTCTGGAAGAACTAAACTAATAGTGGTTTTCCTGATATTTTAGCGTATTTCTAGACAAATCCTAATATTAAAAGAATCATCTCATTTTCTTACCGCAGATATGTCATATTCTCATAGTTTGTGTCCTGTGTCTGACTAAACTTACCATTTAATTGCCAAAGCAGATATGTATTCAGTACAAACAATCATAAGATATCTACACAATTCCTTATCTCATGGCAATACATCTAAGTACTAATAATTCTGTTATCAAATAAAGAGAATGGCCAGCCTCTTCATGTGTGATTTCAAACATTACTGCTAGTTTGAGAGTAAGAAGGAGAGACATTGAAAAGGTATTTACTTCTAGGAGATGTTTTGATTAAGGAAGCAATCAGGTTAAAAAGAATCCAGATCTTTTCTTTAGGTAAAGAGAAGATTAATATAGGAAGACTTCACATATTATAATCAATATTGGATGAGGACAGTTCTGATAGTGGATGATTGTTTTCCACATATGAGAAAGAGTATCCCATATATAAATAAATTACTAGTTATTTTTGTAAAGCAAATGTTTAACACTTAGGTTAATTTTAGTTGTATATTAGTGTTCAATGTGAAGACATCCCTTGTTATCATGATTGAAACTTTTATTTCTTAAGGTTTGTTCACTTAGGTTGGATGGCTGTATTTATGAATGAATCTTTGAGATGTGTGTGTATGTCTGTATCTTGAACACAGTGCCATCTACTGCCTGTGTAAGTGAACTACTGAATATTTAGATGATTAGAAATAACTTAGGGAACAAATTATCCAGCTCCATGTTATATTTAAATGGAGCAATCATTTGAAAACTCATTATTTTCAATGTTTTTTACAAAATTTTATAAAAATAATTATATATATAAATAATTTCTTCATGACTTAATTAAATAATACATATATTTTCTAACAGGATCAGATATATTTACCCCTGAATCACTGGGAGACAATATCTCAGATGACAGTGAAAATATTCAGCTGTTGGTATAAAGGTATTTCAGTTCTTTTTTCAATAATGCTTGCTTTTGTTTAATTGCATAGCCTGGGCAATAAGGAATTAGTATTAGGTCTTTAGTTACCTGTCAATGTTTGAAGCAATTTAACTAGTTAAAATAACTTAGAATATTATTAAAATCTAAACTGCTTTAAAGTTAAAATCTAACTTTAGACTGTAATAAAATTTGTTCAAGTACAATCTCTGCCATTTAAAGTATATCATTTCAGTAGAATGAATATATAAGATCTAATTTCAGCTTAATGACCAAACAGCTACAATTTTGAAAATAACTGTATTTGGTTCACAGTAAAGGAATAGGTTTCTCATCATTTCAAGTATGTGATTACATATTGGCCATCTATAGTGTATTCAGTCTCTTTAATTGAGGGGAAAAAATAGAGTTGCATAATCAATCCCAGTGCATTTTAGGAATGTTCCTCCTTCTACTATCAGGCTTCTGGTGACAGAGGGCTGCCTCCCAACAGTTTTGCTTATTAAT